CAACGATGTGTATAATTGTATAAGTGTCGGGCCGCTAACAGTGCGATTTCACAAGATAAACGGCACCAAGCTCATAAGTCTCGAATCAGCGGACGTGCGCATGATGATGGTCGAATCGACGTTACATCGTATGTTCGAGCTCGATTCATGTATCGAAATAATGTACGATCGATTGACGAGGCTCATCGCAACGGTCGATATCAAACATACGCAATTCTCCAATATTGCATCCACTGTAACGAATGCGAGAGAATTGCCGAATGCGATACGCGCTAGCAACGCCTTCGACATGCACCAACTTGTCGATTGCGAGCTGGTGGCTTTAGTTTTTAATATGTAATAAAACTTTATATATAATTATGTATTAAATATAAGACGAATAAATACTTATATGTATATCATGGTGTACTTTATTTGCGCGCCACCCGTTACATACTTTGCGAGAGAGCAATCACTAGAAAAGAAAGAGACAGCGCGCGAGAGAGAGATCGGATGTGGCGGCGAGAGAGAGAGATTCGACGGCTCGCGGCGAGAGAGATTCGGCTCGGGCCTGTGGCGAGAGAGAGACGGCGAATTAAGACGCGAGAGAGAAAGAAGACGGGCTGCAGCGAGAGACGTACGCGAGAGAGAGAAAAAGAGAGAGCTTTTAAAATAATTTTTAATAATTTCTTTATATTTTCCTAATATTTAAAAGGGAACAAGAGGTAAGGACATTTTAATCTAAAATAAATACACTCATTTGATAATAATATTTTTTTTAATCTATAAAATATGTGTAAATTTACATTGTGTGTGTGTGTGTGTGTGTGTGTGTGTGTGTGTGTGTACTTGTGCATGTGTTACAGAAGAGATAAGGACCCCACGGTTCGTCACTTCCGCGGTATTTATTGACTCCAAACCCTCTCTACTGTGTGTGTGTAAATATAAAAATATAAAAATAAGGATATAAATGAAAAATAAAAAATAAAATAATTTACATTATGGACGATTGGGGTGACGACGGTGATTGCGACGGTGATTGCGACGGTGATTGCGGCGGTGACGGCGGCGGTGACGGCGGCGGTGACGGCGGTGTAGGCTGAGGCCTAACATCGTACAGGTCTGGTAGAGTGAAAAGCTGCACCAGACCCCAATCGAGCAGGTCGGCCTCGTCGTCGCCTCTTAAAAATGCGTCCCAATCGAACATCTCTGGAACCATTATTGGAACGTATGGTTCATCTGTAAACATAACAATTATTAATTAAAAATATAACAATTATTAATTTAAATATATAATACAATATTATAAATCACACTTTTTCACACTTTTAACCTCAGCCTATTTTCGCTGACATTCGCTGCAATCCCTGATCATCGGTGCTGGACCGTCAATATGCGTTCGCATCCACGGCCGATTGTAATGTTCGAGGCAGCGACGATATGTCTGAACCTCCGGATCCGTCTTGATATGCTCCGGAAGCTTGTCCCACAAATGCTCTACGAAATATCCGCACTTTTGCAGTAAAACAATCTTCGGAATATATTGTAACTGTTCGGCACTTAAACTGAGAATGTCGGAAGCACTTGATAGTATTACAAACATCTTGAATGAAGAGAGCGTGCGCTCGCCAGTGGTACTATGGCCCGGCAGCGGCATCGGTCCTCATTATATATCCCCGATCAACCCTTTGTTCGTCAACGTACGAACGAGAAAAATTTAGATGACGTAAATTTTCGGCGCTTGTTTTGTTTATAAATTCCTGCAGCCGCTGGTTATCGGCGCTGGTATTTCTTCCTAAGATAAACAATAAAGAACCGCCGCTTATTGGGGAGGTACCGCGAGGGTGATATACAATCCCATGCAAAAACATGTCGCAGGCCGCAAGCGATGAGGTTGCAGGCAGCGAGGTCGCAAGCGGCGACACGTTCGCCCTGAAACTTTACCCGCTGATATTTCTTAGAAATATATGTATAGATCATGTATCAACCCCCTTGATTGTCGGCGTATGCCAAGCGGTGGGCCTTCTTAAAATTTGATTATCTTAGATTTTCAGAGAACTGATTGTTGGCGCTCGGATCCAAGCGGCCCTTCTTAGAATTTAATTATATTTCTTAGAAATATACAGATAACGTATGGGGGAAGAAACGCAACCCCCTTGATTGTCGGCGTATGCCAAGCGGTGGCCCTTCTTAGAATTTGATTATATTTCTTAGAAATATACAGATAACGTATAAGGAGAAGAAACGCAACCCCCCCCCCCCTTCCCCTGATTGTCGGCGCTCGAAATGCGGCAGCCATTCGCAGAATTTTTATCTTATCTTCGGAGAAAATTTATGAAAACTTTGATACCGCTCAAAGACGCCGCTTATCTTATCTTATCTTGTTTATGAACATATCAGGTAACATGATCCCCTTATCTTATCTTGTTTATAAATATATCAGGTAACATGATCCCCTTATCTTATCTTGTTTATAAATATATCAGGTAACATGATCCCCTTATCAGGTTATCTGATATGTTTATAAACAAAAGATAAGCTTATCTACTGATAAGACCCCCTCCCCGCGTGACGTCACCCCCCTCGCCCCCGATTCCCCCCCCCCCCGCCCGCACCCCCCTCATTGCCACTGAGTTAGAACTCTCATAGTATCTCTACTAGCTTGGCTCTGGCGCGGCGTCAAACGCTCATTATTAATACGCAAGGCGATGCTTGTGCCAAAGCGGCGGCAAGCATTCACGTGTTTTTCCTCGGGGCGCCGGCAGGGATGAAACTCTGCAAGCGAGGGAAGGCGTAGGAGATGGAGAACAAGAGAGAAAGAGAGAGGAGAACGAAGGGTGGAGTACAGTATCGAAAGCACCTGCCGTCTCTAAATCTCGCTACTTAAGACCGCTAAGTGTCACGGTCGTGAAGAGGGGCCTCTTGCCGTTGCATTTAATTGGCTAGCCTCATATATGCTATTTCTAGCGAGCAGAATTGTTAGCCTATTAGCAGCGGTAAAACCAGCGAGACCGGCTCGATTTCGCGGAAATATATCCAACGTGTACCACCTGAACGGCAAATCGAGTGCTACCATCAAAAGATTAAACGCGCGCGTAAATTAGATGCGAATTTAACCGCTCGGTCACTCGGGATGTGAGCGGACAGAGAGAAATCTATGAAACTGCGCGTAGGCTGCTTTCAAATAGCTGTTGCAAAATATATCTAATGCGAGTGCTTCATAGTCTAGTCACTTTTAAATGTGGCCTTTTGATCCTTCATTTAAATTAATACACAGAGAGAATTTTCTCTTGGAATTTATTACCCTAAAAATCATGGTAATCGTGGGACAATATGGTATTGAACAAAATTTATAAGAGTTTCTTTGATTAATGTTTATCACAATAAGATAGAAAATGTTCGATTAATTTTACTAATGTACATAGTAAAAATTACTATGTATTTACCCTGAAAATCATGGTAATCGTGAGACAATATGATATTGAAAGAATTTTATAAGAGTTGCTCTGATTAAATATTTCTCACAATAAAAAATATTAATTAGAAATTTTATAATTCTCCCTGTACCATATTGTCCACGATACCATAATTTTCAGGGTAAATTCTAAGAGAAAATTTTCTCCGTGTACACGTCCTGATTTCTATATAAAACAAATGTAATTTGAAATTTTATTGAAATTTAAAGACGATCGTATTTTTTAAATCTTAAATGTGGAACATGGATATTCAATTATTTATTTAGTTATACAAATAATTTCAGTTAATTATATTTATCTCTGTCACGAAGAGATTTTGTGTCGCTTTACCTGTTACGTCTAATGATTATTTGATTTAATACAACGCTCCTGGCAAAAACTTCTTTGAACGAATGCCAGGTAATAAATAAATTGCAGCATGATTCTCTTGAGGCTCTCGCATGTTTACAGCATGATTGAACAAACTTGCTTTCCCGTAATTTTTACGTATTCCCTCGGCATTTCACACGCACGAAACTGTATCGCGTTAAGTAACCAGGCGGTTGTTAATAGTCGGCAACTAACCGAAGTGTAGAGGCGTCGTGACACATGGCGCAAAACGCTGCCAAATTCCAAGTAACAAATGCGTCACGGTTGCCCAATCCATCCGACAGGTGCACGTAAATTAATAAGCCGCCTAACTTACGACACGCTGCATATAAATTGGATGATATCACGGGGAGGAAAAAAAAAAGAAGAGAAAGAAGAAATGTCTTGTCTCCCTCCCGCGTGACATTCTTATTAGGGAGGAACGTATCGAGAAGTCGCTTTTGAACGGAGTTATCTCGCCTCTCCCCGAATCTCCGAATTTGCGATTCCACAAAATCCACGAATCGATTGGACATAGCTTAATTTAATAAGCAGCGCGGACTTTACGAGCCGATTCAGCGGCCGCAGCAGCCAGTAGCAGCAGCAGTTGCAGCCGAGATTTAAAAGCCGCTTTGCAACCACCCTCCCTCCCACCCATTCGCGTTCCACCGCAACTCTTTCTCGTTTCGTCTGTCTGCTGCACGGTCCATGGACAGCATCGTTCTCGGCGCAAGCCGGCCGGCTTAATGTTGTTTTAATTAAGTAGGCGGTTAGCCGGAAAGAATGTGGAGAGTCGGTACTTTCGGTCTCGTCGACTTCTTCTACCCCTACCTTCTCTCTCTATTTCGAGAGGTGCCGCGTAACTCAAGTCGCATGTGTTCTTCGTATGTTCAGACGCGATGGACGATTTCGCTTGACTAATCGCCGTCTTTTTAATCCCCTCTACGACGCGAAGGGAAAGGAAGACGTCGTGTTCTCCGCGTAAAATGTTCTCGTGTTTATCTACGACAGGCTTGGATCAACCGTCGTGCGCGACGGTCCACGGTTGCAACAATGTTTGATGATCCAAGGCACACAGAGACAAGAGGGTCGGCGAGTGCCAGAAATAAATTGTCATTTGATTTAAAATTATCGAGACGGAATTAATGGCTCGTTTACCTGGTTTCGAGATTATCTTCAACTTGAGATCTCCTGCCTTCCAAAACGTTATCCTCGCTCTTCGAATTGCTTCTTTCACGATTTTGCATATCGACCGCATAAAACCACTGTAAAAAGGAGAATCAAAAATTATTAAAAATTTTATTTAACAAATACGACGATATTTGTAGCCTCTTCTATGTCAATTTTAATTTCTAATTGATATAGCACAGAGACAAGAGAGTCGGCGAGCGCCAGAAATAAATTGTCATTTGATTTAAAATAATCGAGACAGAATTGATGGCTCGTTTACCTGGTTTCGAGATTATCTTCAACTTGAAATGTCCTGCCTTCCAAAACGTTATCCTCGCTCTTCGAATTGCTTCTTTCACGATTTTGCATATCGACCGCATAAAACCACTGTAAAAAGGAGAATCAAAAATTATTAAAAATTTTATTTAACAAATACGACAATATTTGTAGCCTCTTTTATGTCAATTTTAATTTCTAATTGATATAGCACAGAGACAAGAGGGTCGGCGAGTGCCAGAAATAAATTGTCATTTGATTTAAAATTATCGAGACAGAATTGATGGCTCGTTTACCTGGTTTCGAGATTATCTTCAACTTGAGATCTCCAGCCTTTCAAAACGTTATCCTCGCTCTTCGAATTGCTTCTTTCACGATTTTGCATATCGACCGCATAAAATCACTGTAAAAAGGAGAATCAAAAATTATTAAAAATTTTATTTAACAAATACGACAATATTTGTAGCCTCTTCTATGTCAATTTTAATTTCTAATTGATGTAGCACAGAGACAAGAGAGTCGGCGAGTGCCAGAAATAAATTGTCATTTGATTTAAAATTATCGAGACAGAATTAATGGCTCGTTTACCTGGTTTCGAGATTATCTTCAACTTGAGATGTCCTGCCTTCCAAAACGTTATCTTCGCTCTTCGAATTGCTTCTTTCACGATTTTGCATATCGACCGCATAAAACCACTGTAAAAAGGAGAAACAAAATTATTAAAAATGTTATTTAAAAAATAGGACAATATTTCTATAGTCTCTTCTATGTTAATTTTAATTTCTAATTGATTAAAGCCAAGAGGATTGATTAATTCGACATTCTACGTTTTCCGTATTACACGATTTATACACAATGTCGACAATGTATTCACTTGCAGATTCAATTATTCCATATAATTTGATTCTGAAATACAAAACTGTATCTCTCTCGCGGAAGAGACGATGTTAAGATTAAGACGAAATCGATTTCCTGATGATGTATACTATTAGCGAGGTTAATGAGCGATGTTAAATCGTGACCAACTGCTTTGGCTGCGAGAACGTGTTTATGTATAACACACACCTAGATATATTATTAACTGATGCCATCGTAATTATTTAACGGAAATACCATGCACGTTTGTGCAAATTAATCCAGCATCTGCATTTTTTTCAGACAAGTATAATACATAAATTATTAATAAGCAACACAATTTGCATAAAGAATTTTGATACAATTGATAAAAATATCGATCATTCTTTTCGATAGAATTTTATATAGATAGTGCGAAAAATAATTTTGTAAATTCTCACGAGTCTTAAATTTTATACGAATTATACTCGTGAAAGACGAGTAAAGGATACCATGGCTGCATCTCTCCATATGCAGTCGCTTCAGCAGACCGTAAAATTGCCGTGTAAAAATGTATAAAAATGGTATGTCTACCGGTACATAAAAGCGCGCTTATTATCAGCTGAATTAACTTAGTGTTCGGCTGGAACAATTCTTCGCAAGCATAAAGCAAAACCCTTTGTGCTAAGAAAGAAGAATCCACTCTTTGTGCTACATTAAACCAGCTCAAAATTATCACAAATTATATACCTAGTTATTTGCGAGAATCTCGAATATGACGATGAGGGGGATAACATTTTAATTATAATTTCTTCAAATTGTTAATAAAAAGTGGTAATAAAGGATTATCTATAGTTGAAAATGATGCAGTAAATAATGTCATTCTGAAATTCATTGTTGTCGCAAAGGATAATGAAATAAACTCATAAGAATTCTTAGCTAACAATTCTTATTGTCACACTGAGAAAAAAGTTGTTAACTTGACTAAATCGTTCAACTAATCACTATTTTATTAATTGAACATATACAAGTATTTAAATTAAATATACAACATATTTAAATACTTATATGTGTTCAATAAACAAAATAATAATTAGTTGAATGATTTAGTCAAGTTAACAACTTTTTTCTCGGTGCAGTTTTACTGACATTTATTTGATATCTTAAAGAAAGAAATGCAAATTTAAAAAATTGAATAATTATTTTCCGCGCGTGCAAAATGGCCTTCTTTCGCTCCTTCGTTTATTCAATTTTCCTTCTGTAATTTAGATTATAATTGCAGACTTTTAATTCGCGAAGATTGAAGAAAAAAGAATATTTTCTCGAATTTTACCTCGATTTACGTATCAATTTCTCTCTCTCTCTCTTTCATTATCGTATCGGTTACGCGATTTTTTCGGGCGCGATTAATAACTAAAAGTGTGCCTCGCAATTTCTCCACATTTTCGCGTGTCGCAAATCGCACCGCCGGTGCATTCGGGAAGCTGCAATCACGGCGGATCGTCACCGAGGCAGGCGGTTGAAACCCGAGAAGAAACTTCCCGCGTATTCCGCTCTATAGCTTTGCGGTAATTGCTGTCCGGACAGGTAACTCTGTTCTGCATTTACGACGGACAATTATAAATCGTATCTCATCACCTTTCCTCGCCTCTGTTTCGCCGTGATTTTTATCGGCGCCGCAATCACGCCGACGACTCTCATCCGTAACCGCTTTAATCACATTTTAACTGTACCGAGCGTTCCGTGATTACTATGTACACGTTCGGGGAGCACAGTTACGCTCGGAGCACGATATGCACGCTGTTAAATAACGCGATACGATGATGATCCGCAAGAAAGTCGGACGACGCGAATTATTTGCAAACTGTCAATTGCTTCGTATTACTCGCAATTGCAATCACAGTTGCAACATTTGTGTTAAATTTGACAGATGTCACAGAAATTTAACGATCTACAGAAATTTTTGTCCTAATTTAACATAATATGGATATGGTAAATGGAGACACAAATACTGTGTTAATATTTTAACAACACAAACTAAATGCAAAACTTCAAGTAATTTAAAATAAATTTTGTATAAAATCAACACAGTTTTAATGTAAAAATTAACTAAAAATATGTTAATTTTAGATTTTATCATCCTCACTTATATTGTAAAATAAAAAATCAACATTTTTATCTGCAAATTTGGAGAGATAAATCTTGTCACTAATAAAACAGAACATATATTTATTGTGTAAAATTAAAAATAGATGCATATTGTATTATTTTTACATTTTTTTCAATTGGTTTAATAATTTAACTTTGAAGTACATTTAATACAACAGCAAGATGTTAAAAATTAACACATAAATGTGTTAAATATTTAACACAAAACACATTTTGTAAGAATTGTAAAAATGCATATATGCAAATGCTTACATTTGATCGGTCCTCTTTAATTGATATTTTACTCTGGCAGACAATTTCAAAGAAATGCATTGTTTTGCATATGCGCTACTTTTAAAGTCGGCGAGATATGTAGAAATATAATGTAATCACGAGTGATACGAAACAATGACATTTTGCAAATAATTCGCGTCGTCATTTTCTTACGAGAATCATTGCATCATTTGCATCGCACATTCAACACGTGCAACGACATATTGATTTCGAGAAACTGTTAATTATATGTTATTTTTCTTTTTTTTTTCATACGTTGTTATACTTTGCGTCGATAGGATTATATGTAATCTAAACTAATCAATTTATATAGCCATGGTACTTACAAAACAATGATGCAGATACAGTCACTTCATTCGATATAAATATTAGATATTAATTTAGATGATGTTGCGCGCGAGTCGATGCAAATGTCGTATCGAGCGATGTATCGAAATACTATCGCCATCGTGTGTTGAATTCGAGAACTATTATAAACTACTTGTAAAAATTTAACAGTCGATACATAAATTGAATTTTGCATTTTGAAAAAGGGCCATAGGATTTTTTATTTTATTTTATCATTATTCTCTACAATGAAAAATATATGTCATTTCAACATTATTGATATCAAAATAATACTAATTTATTTATATTCTATTATCATCTAAGAAAAGAGAAATTATTATCTTAAGAGTTTAAATTGCTCGACAGATAAGAGAGAAGACGATAAGTCAGAGATGTAAATAATTAATTCATCTAGAAATATATTTCGTCTTAATTACTTTAAAGGAGAAATAAGTAAAATATATGTATCAAATTGTATAGTAAGTTAAATAATTATTTTTTTTATTCATAAATATGTATATTTTGCGGTAACGCAATTTGGGAAGCAATTGTAATTTAAGAACATTTATTAATATATATTTCCTCCCAGGCAGCATCAAAATCGAAACACGTCCAAAATCGGGCATAATAAATCTTCAACAAGTCTTCAAGATGTTTTTCATAGATATCATGTCATCTCTTAAAAACTTTAAAAGATATCTCACATTCCGATTTCGGACATGATGCTGCCTGGCATTAGTTATTGCACGCAAGAGACCAATAAAAATCCAAATCAAAAGCATGAACAGAGCTAAATCATTAATTATTTATATTACAGATGACGGATTATGAAGTACCTGAAGGAAACAGGAAGAGCTGAAGAGTGAGGAAGGAAGGAACACTTAGTCTCCCGATACTTTTCCCTCTCGACGCACCCGTCCGTTCGGTTCGCCTCCCACGCCATATTTGCGCGGGAACTGCGGGAAGCGGTGCTCCCTCTCGCGGAGGAAGCGCGAAACAGTGCTGCCCTCGCGGGGGCGCTGCCGGGCAGGGTTGGCAGGCCTGTCGCGGCGAGGAAAAAATTGATGAGCTGTGCGCGGACACGATTAATAGACAGATCGCAAAGGCCTGCCTAAAGAAGAGACCGCCATCTTCGTGCGATAGACTTTGCCCTTACCGACACACTTTGCCCCTGGTTTCGAGTCCGTGCTAAATTCGTAGACTTGAACCAAAAGACTTTGCCCCTGGTTCGAGTCCGTGCTAAATTTCGTAGACTCGACCAAAAGACTTTGCCCCTGGTGCAAGTCCAGGCTAAATTCGTTTGACATTACCAACAGACTTTGCCCCTGGTGCGAATCCAGGCTAATTGATCATGAGACCAATTTGAGAGATTTGGCCCCCGTTGTGTGTGTGTGTGTGTGTGTGAGTGTGAGAGAGAGAGAGAGAGAGAGAGAGAGAGAGAGAGAGAATATTTTACATATGCATATATATATAAAATTTATTAAATATAAAAAAATATTTTTTACACATAAAATGTTTTTTTATTGAAATAATCACGATTTTAAATGTGATATACACAGTGTTCAAAATTTTTAATTAAATTTTTTAATTAAATTTTATTAAAGAAAATTACTTGAAATTTTTTACATTAAGAATTTAAAGGCTCCTTATTCTCTTGTAGAAATTTATCACTACGCCAATATCACTATTTTGAGTATTTAAAATACTATAATATACAGTAATTTAAGTATTCGAAATAAAGTGATTAAATTACTCGGAAATAAGTGATAAATTGGG